TCATATGGTTCAATTTTATCAAGAAAATCCTCTTTAGAAATATCCTGAAATCTTATCAGAGGGAGAAAATCTTTTAATGTGTTGCCTAAATCACCAAAATTTTGTAATGACCAATCTTCAACATTGATATTATTGATTTCAGGATGTCTTGCTAATCCCCATTGAAGAATTTTTTCCCAAATAACTATCTCATTAACAGAAAAATCATCTCTTTTGAGAATTTCCAATAGAATTGGTTTTTCCAATGATTTAAATTCATTTGATTCAAATAATTTTTCACAAAATTTTTCCAAATAGATATTTCTCAATTCCTTAAATTTTTCATTAGCATAAATTAATTGTAAAATTTTAACTGGATTTTCTTCTATATAATCTTCATAATTTTCAACAAAATATTTCATCATATATTCATAAAATGATTCAATACCAAGTTCATGACCAGTCAATAAAGCTCTCGCCATGATTTTCTTGTTTTTCTCTTCCTTTAAAGTATACATGCAGCCCAAATTGGTTTGGTGATTTTGATGGTCAAAATTATTCCAATTTTGATGGTATAGTGCAGGACACTTAGTCCCTACAACTTTTATTAGTCTTGCAAATCCTTTAACTCCTCCAAAAATGGAAATGTGTGACCAAAAAAAACAAGATGACATTTTGAAGCTAAGACCTTTTTCTACAAAATGACATTTTCATTTTGTTGATATGCTATGCTGTTGTGGAGGAATTAAGCCTTAAAGTTGCACAATTTTAACAAATTTACTATGTTAATCCCCAAAGTGACGCGTTACACACAAATTTTTTATATTAAAAATGAATGAATTGGAAGAATTGAAAATTTTGAAATCTGTATTGCAGATCTTCTATCACGTGATACTAATAAAGAGAATGCAACGTCCTGCACTATAGAAAGTAGAAATTAATTACAATATTCACTATTAAAAACATAAGTGTAACACCCCTTTACTACATGTGTAACCCCCTTTATGACAGAGTCAAATACTTTGGGCATGTATACTTTTAAAGATTGTTTATATTTATTAACGAAAGGATCTGCATAAATTTAGCCAATCAAATTTTCTTCTAAAGAAATTCCAGAACATTTATCATTTATAAATTAGGAAATACCAAATTTAGCATATTCCCTGACTGAACTATTTTTAGGAGGTCTTTAGACCAAGCCAGCTATATGGAGTCTGGACAATAGAAACGGACCATGTTGTGAAAATGATGTTTTGAGAAAATTTAAAAAAAAGATCTGCATTTCAAGTAATTTACTATTGTTTTTAAAACTTTAATGGAGGGTATCTCAAA